GACCAGCTAAGGGATGTATAAATATAAATTCCAACTTACAACTTCTCAGGACTACCCTTGACTGGATGATCAGATTACATAATCAAATGTTACCCCTGAGTTAAAACCTTTTGTGATAGATCACAAGTTGATTTACACTAATATGGAATATATCAAGGTGTGCCCCTATTTTCTCAGTGTGTACAAGTTCAAATATCTAGATTAATAATTGTAATTAATACCATGTGATACAAAATAAAATGGTAAGCAATGATGATTAAAACAGCAGACTTGATTATGAATAACTTGAATTAGCTCTGAATTATTTTGAAATATTTATCTATTTTTAGGGCAAACTGAGTGATGTATTTGGAAGAAAAAATCTTCTTCTGATTAGCCTCTTTGGTGCGGCTGTAGGTTATATTCTAACAGGAATTCCAACAACATTACTTTTTCTAGCACTCAGCAGAGTTCCAGTAGGTGAGATGCTTTTTTTTTTCTGAATAGTAAGTACCTGAATGAGACCTCCTATCTTGTGTTTGTCAATTTGCACCTAAGCGCATGGAGCTCCTGCAGAGAATAGTTGGTTAAAACCCTTTGACTCCCAGAGGTGATTAACATGAAACTTCTCTTAACAATAATTATCCACACATTATCCAGCAAACGAGTTATGAGAACACTCAAACTTATTAGGTAGAAGTTGTTATCTTGATCTAACACCAACTTCGTATAACTAGTTTACAAGGAAATGTGTCGCAGCTGAAGGGGAGAATTGGCATCATGATCTTGGGAGACAAGGATCATAGTATTTTAGTGTATGGTAATATGTGCATGATTGGGTCTCTTCTGTTTTGCTACCAATTTATTTTAAGATGGACAGTCATGTATTGTTTCTTTTCAGGGATTTTCAAGCACAGTCAAAGTATTGCAAAGACATATCTTTCAGATGTTTCACCCTCTATAGATCACCCTAAAGTGTTTGGGAACTTCAATGCATTTTCTAGTCTTGGTTTTGTCATTGGTCCATTGATCGGCGGCCATTTGGCCATGCAGTCAAATGGTTTCTCCAGGGTGACCACTTTAACTGGATTCATTTTCTTGATCAATTTTTTCTTTGTGTGGTTTTTTGTGACACCAGTTGAACAAGTGAAGAAGCAGTCTTTTACAAGGAAAGAACATGATGCATTCCTTGCTAAAGACAATACAGCAAACAACACAATAGATAACCACACAGAGGAAGAACTGGATAGAAAAGAACTGAGGGATAGAAAAGCACTCAGTGAAAGAGCAGGCTCCTCCACATCCCATGGAACAAGTTTATACAAAATTTCTTCAATAGGTTCCTCACTGGATTTGATAGTAATTCGTTTCGTGATGGGATTTTCAATGCTAGTCTTCCGCAGCAACTTCACATCCATGTTAGAGTTTCACTTTAACACCAGTCCAAAAACCAATGGCTATATTATGTCTTACAATGGTCTAGTGGGTGGTTTTTCTGGAATTCTAGTGGGAAAGATAGCAAAATTCTACAATCACAATGATGCAAAGATGCAACTTCATTTCTCCCTACTTCTCATGGCATCACTTCTTGGCATAACATTCTCACCCAGTATATTGTTCATTCCAGTCTTCATTACACCACTGGCCATCTCAAGTGCAGTTTGCCGTGTCTGCACGACTAATCTCACTTTCCGTAGGGGCAGTGAGGATGAGAAAGGGGTCATGTTAGGGATAGGGAACTCATTACTGTCATTTGCACGAATGATTTCTCCTGCTTTAGGTGGGTTTGTTCAGGAGGTAAGTGTGTACGGGCCTGGTAGCATTGGTGCTCTTATAGCTGGCATAGGTGTTGTTATCATGATACTTTTCCCACTTGATAGGCCCAGAGTGAACAAAAAGGAGAAAAAAGACCAGTGAGAAATACATTTAGCACTATGCTTTTGATTCCATCCATGTTACAAAGAGCCCTTTCACAATCTTCTATGTCACTATCAGGTATAAAAGCATATTATTTTTAAAAAGAATGAAACCCTTGCACTGATTATCCATTGGCAGAGGGTAGACACGAGTTGAGAATGGTTAAGAATGGGAAGGATTAATTTAAGTTTATTGATATCATATAATAATAATAAATAATTGTTCTTGAACATGAGAAATATAAGCTTCGACTAGAGTTGTGTTAAAATTAATTGTAACCCTTAACTCTCATGAGTGACCAAGAAAGACTTTCTCCTTACAATATCAACACATTATCGCACAGGCAAGTCATGAGGATAAAGAAAAATGTCAATTTGGTTTTCAAATCTTTATTTCATAAAGTAAAATACATAATGTATTGATATTTCAAAGTTGAAACAACTCTAAATTTATTTCACTGAAAATTTCTCTCAAATTAATTAATATGTAACCCTACAGGAAAAGTTATTGGTTGTTCCTTGAGAGTATTTCCACTGTAGATTTGAAAGTATTAATCTCTTAAATTGTATGTTTTTTATAATATCTGTACCCAATCTCTGAGAGGTATTAGCCTCTGCTGGCAAGAGAATTAGTCACTATCAGTGGTAATTATTTTTAATTTCTGTTTAAATGTAGATTTTCTTTTTGAACAATGTTCCATTTCGCTCAAAATGCTTGCAGATAACATACATGTATCAAGTACTTGTCCAGAACACAAACATGTAACATGTA